ATTCCATACAGTCAAGATTCATATATACATCAAGCTTTTGGGATGCATCTCAGCTCAGTTTTTACCTTTTTTTATCGTGTGTATTAATTTCTAGATTTTTCGATCGATGGACACGTACCACAATTCGCTGACGACGCAGAAAATAGTGAGTGAATGTCCCAAAAGATTTGATGGGCTCTTACAGTGCTCCGCCAGAATATGACTTGCGCCGGAATCAGTAATGAAGAAAAGAACAATCTCCATGTGATATTGATTGACTCAATTAATTTACATATTTACTCGTCTCATTTTGTTGAATATCAATCAATCATCGATCTCTATCTATATGTCTATCCATTTTATACTGCTACTATGATTACACTGTATTCAAATGCAGAAAGCTAAAAAGAGTGCGTAATTTGGGAGCAAAAAAGATGAGGTAGAACAAGGATAATCGTACAGAATATGAGTGAACAATAACCGCCCACTTTGATTAATGGATGATTAATTTCATTCATTCTTGAATAAATACATGCTAGTGTTTGGTTGCTCGGTTGGCTGCTCGCTTGGTCGGTTGGTCGGTTTGGGTTGAGGCGTGAGGATTTGGATTTGCTTTTGATTCCATGGTGTGGAATGTCCATGCATTATGTTGTGTGATATTATGCTTCATGCTTATACTAGTAGTATTAATTAATGTGCATGCTATCTCGCGATAACGCTTCGTTTTTGATATCTTATTCAGCATTTAAACTGTGTACTGATTTTTCAGGTAATTGTTTAATGAGGGTGCAACAGCAACTGCAGGAACAGATTACACCAATTATCACGATAATCCGACAGTTGTGCTATACACATGGCATGACGTCGGTATATTCCGTTATCTCTGCTCATGGAAGCTAAATTGAGCAGGATAACCGGAATACATTCATGAGTGGTATGCTGCAATGACTGTGTCCCACATTTAAGAAGGTGGGATAATTGCGGCATACACATTAATTTAAAAAAATAATTGGTGATAGCTGCGCAGTTGCTGAATATTAGGAGCCTTTTGACGGCCTTTTGCGAAACGCAAATTTGCTCCAGTCAAAGAAAACTCTAGCAACATGGATTGGAATCGCATAACTGCACCATATGCGCGAAGTAATGAGGCCGGATTTGGTGAAAATTATTCGGCCACATTAGTTACTGCTCAAGTTTGTCAACAACCGGTTCTACCTACAACCAATTGTAACAAATATTTTGGTGAAGAATTAAGTGATAGCAGCAGTAAGTCAGAGACAAGGTAATTATCTTAACTTTTTTTATAATTTAGCTGATTTATTGCATTTGATGATTGTGACAGATATTGAAAATTGCTTGCTTAAAGAGTAGATATTCCTTCTGTCATTTATCCCATACCCAATCAATATGTAAATGAGTAGTGTTGAAAGTTGGGTGCAAGTCAGGTCGTGGCATCACTTTTTGCATATATTTTTGCGCCAGCTAAGTTGTAGTACTGCTAAATTTGCATATTGATTGATGCAAGCAAAGTTACATTCAGCTCATTTACATCTTGATTGGATGACGAATAAATAAAACAAGCCAGTCTTCTATTATTAGGTTTATGGCTATTTATATTAGCTCAATATCTATTCATATCAGCTCAATATTTCAGACGAAGTGCACATGGATGAGAAAAATTAAAAACCGAGCAGCCTTTGTCCATCGAAATTACCCATATCTTAATACATGAGCGGCAACACTGAGAGGCGAAGAAACAAATATCTGACAATATTATCGACAAATGAGCGCAGAATTTGGCAGTATTGCCAGAAATATTCGCGAAGGAATGATTTTTTAATTTTCTGATTTTCATTATTGTTTTATTAAATTATGTATTTAATTAATGTATTATATTTCTGTAATTTTTAATTATTCTACATAATTTGAAATTATCTTTTTTGGCATTGTTAAAGTTATGATGTGTTTTATGTATAATTTGTATTATCGTGTTTTTAATTTATTTCTCGCTTAGTTTTATTGTTAAATTTTTGCTTTTTTACTGCATACTGCTATAATTCATAGCAGTTTAT